GAAAACCTTTCATTATCAGTATTGTAAACCATAAGGCCAAAAAGGAGAGAGAGAGGGAGAGAGAGAGAGAGAGAGAGAGAGAGAGAGAGAGAGAGAGAGAGAGAGAGAGAGAGAGGTGCCTGCCATAGTGGCAGGCAGTAGGACAGAGGGGTGGCAGTAAAACTGGGACCAATGTTGATGGGAAAAGTACACTGGTGAAGGGACGGGTGTTGGGACATTATTTGACTGAAATTCAATCATGAACATTTGCAAGTGTGTATATCACTGTGATTCAATTCAATAAATAAAAATTCTTAAAAAATGTTCATATTTTTAGTATGAAAAACTCCACTGAAATTTTAATTAGAATATCATTCATAATCTTTTCTCCCCCTGCCCCCCACTATTAGTTTTCCAGAATTCATCTATTTTACAGAACTAGGTCTTTGTGTTGTGATCTTTGCTATGATTTCCTGGCATCTGAGTCTGTGTTAAGCTCTAAAATCATACATATAACACACAGACATTTTCCCTTTTTTCCACTTTCTCCCCTTTTGCTTTTAGATCAAAGCCTTTTTTATTTGGGTGAAGGAAGATGGCTAGCTTCTGATCTAAGTCAGACATTGCCTAGGTTTTCCATGTAGAATCGTGTGAAAAGTGAGCACAGATTTGAAAAACAGTGTGTGGTCTATTTAGGGTTTTCATTTCATTGTAGTCTCATCTTCAGTGACTTCTGTTTTTACATCCAACCCCCATATCCACGTTTCTGGAATCACCTCATGCCACTTCTACCCTGAGGAGTGCTATTTTTTCACTTATTTGGGCAGCCTCACCCACCTCTGCTACTGGTCTATAAAATAGAAAGACTTCCTAAGGAGAAAGATTTTCTTCTAGCCCATGGGAAAAACACTGGAGAGCATAAATGCTCACTTTGAAGAAGGAAGAAATCTATGCCCCAGACCGGGATGTAGAGTATGAGGCTAGGGGTGGGTGGGATGTGGAAACTTTTCCAGGCAGGCTGAATTCTCTCAGGCTATTGTTTCCCTGGAATATATTCTCCGAAGCAGTTTCTACGTTAATAGAGAGGAGGGAAAGTTTCCAACAGATCTTTTGGCTGATAGTTTTGATTACTCTCCAGTAGAAAATTTCAAAGGCTTTTTGCCAGACGGAAGGGAACATGGAGAGAAAAAATGCTGGCATGACCAGAAAACCCTTCTGAGCAAATAATGAAGCCCAAGTAGTGACAGCCAAGTTTTTGATCTTGAATGATTGCCAATTCCAGTCCAAGGACCTCAAGATAAGATCAACAACCTGGCCACTCCACAGTAAGATATGAACGTGAGTTTAATATATGACTGTTAAGTCTGCTTGGAATTTTTTCCTGTCAAAATTCTCTTCATTTCACTGAAAGTATTTTTTACCTTTCACAGCAGTGCTTTGGATCGTTTGCTCTGCTTGAGTCCTGGGAGAGGATGAAAGAGAAAGGTCAGGAGGGAAAGCGTGCAGGACTTTCCAAGAAAAGAGGTTGGTCTGTGAGAGGACCATAGACACATCCCAACATCCGAGAAAGTGTCTCAGGATACCCTTCCTATCTCTGGAAACAACATCATCCACTTGAATTATTCTGAGAAGCCAGATATAGTCAAATATATTAACCCACCTTGCTAAGGGCAATTTAGAACTCAATCCAGTATCAGTGCTATGCAATCTTGGCTCTTTACAGCGGAGAAAATTGGCTCATTGGGAACACGTGACTAGTTTTGATGGCTAAATCTCTGTGCAAAACTGAATTGAGTCTTGGGTTTCATTTTCTCTCTCCTATGACACCAGACTTACAGCTATACTTGAGTTAAAATTATTGACACAAAGATGGCTGTAGAATAGGTTCATTCACGTGTGCCCACACTTGCTAGGAAGACGGGTCCGTCTAGACTGACCTCAGTTTTGTCCCATTTCTGTTAGGCTATCACAGACCAAAGAGAAGAAATAAAGTGCCTTATAGCAAATAACTTAGCATTCTTGAATATACACTCTAAGTGTGGCCCCAACTTTCATTAGATGCTAGAAAGGAAGAAAGCAATCAGGACAACTAAACATAGAGCAGAAGTGACCATTTTCCTTAAGATGGCACAGAAGAAAATCAGTAGAAAATATTGAAGTGTATTGCACAGCAGATTCATTTTCGCTTTATCTTTGACTTATGAGGAAGGATAAGCTGTTGAAATAATTTGAAACAAATACTTAAAATTACTAATTATACTTTAAACAAACACTAACATTATTACTAATTTTAGTAATTTTACTAATAAGTTATCACTTAATAATAGTTACTTAGTAATAACTTATAAGAAAATAAAACAATAGTAACAATAAAATTATTACTTGGTAATAACTTAATGTGCTTAACAATGCAATAAATCTAAATAGAATAAGTGATGACTATTTAAATAAAAGTTCCAAATATTCTTTTCAGTAGGTAGTAGAAATGTTGCTCTTGAGAAGACGAACAATAAATAAAAAGTGAGGAGTATGAAATTAGGGAAGTGACGCTCCTGTGTGACATTGAAAACAAAGGCCTATTTTCAGTAGTCTTTTTCGCTTACCATATACTTTCTTATTATGGCTTTCGCCAAAAATTTATTGTCCTTTTTGTCTTCGCACAACACTCCTTCGAATTTGTCTGTAGGATAAGGGTTCCATGCATTTTGTACACATTGTATAAACACATGGCACCGTGCAGTTTTGAATGCCCATTAAAAGAAATTTTAGATGATGGTGAAATAATCCATAACTCGATAGGAAAGGGGAGAGAGAGCGAGAGAGAGAGAGGAGAGGAGAGAGAGACACACATAGAGCAGAGACAGAGAGAGAGGAGAGAGGAGAGGAGAGGAGAGACAGAGAGAGAGAGAGAGAGAGCGAGCAGACTTCTGCACGGTCAGGGGTGCGGGTGGGGGGCATTGGTAGATTGTTTTCGAAAGGAAACGACTAGCAGATAGAATTGACCAGCCGCCAGGGCTCAGCCTTGAGCATCCTGTGAAAACCGCAGGGCGCACCCCGTCACGGTTCTCAGCAGTCCCCGGCCGGAGTAGGCCCGGTTCCCTTGGAAGCCCGCGTGGCTGGAGGCTGGAAAAGTTTCCATCGCCTCCAGGGGGTCTTCCCCCTGCCCGCCCGCTGCGGTCTGCAGTGACCTCCGCAGCCTCCCAGGCCCCCGATTACCGGGCCGGCACCCCCAGCGCAGCCCGCCCACGCCGCCTCGCCGCCTCGCTTCCTGCCAGGGCGCACCAAGGGGCTCCCGGCCGTCCGCGCGCCCCCGCTGTCCTCCCCGCGTGGCCGGGGCAGAGTGGCCTCCACTTTCGCGCCCCAAGGTCCCCGGCAGGGCAAGCGAGAGGCCGAGCATCCCCAACACTCGGGAAAAAAATCCCGAGAAGCCGAGGGTGGGAGGTGGCAAGGACGAGGTGGAGAGGGCACGGCCCGAGAAGCGCCCTCCCGCCCACCCCTCGCTTTCCCGGGCATCACCACCCCCCGGGACAGGGTGCAGCGAATCTATAGGGTGGTCTCCACTCCCTCCTCCCCTGAACACCCCCCCCCCCCCCCACCTCCAGGCCCCAGCCCCGCGCCGCGCCCTCCCACACCTCCAGGTGTGCATTCCCCGCCTTGGATGAATCTCTCGTCGGGGCTCGGCGCTGGCCAGGTTGGCCCGGGGGAAGCCGGAGAGAGGCCGCTGGATGTGGGGATGGAGAGTTGGGGACGCCCCGCCGCCCCGGCGGACCCCCTGGGCCACCTCCTTTCCAGCAGCGACGCCAGCGCGGCTCGGGGCGGTGCAGCCTCCAGTGGAGGAGATTCTGCACCGGGCGGGAAGGGAGGTCGGGCGTGGGGGAGGGAAGTTCTGGAAAGTTTCAGGACTGGATCTCCTGCACCGAAAAGTTCTTTTTTTTTTTTCTCTTTTTCTCTTTTGCGCCCCGGCGCGGTCTTCCCGGGTCTTCCAAGTGGGCGAGGAAGAGCGGCAGGATGAGAATGCCACGCGCGGGGTAGCCCACGGCGCAGAAGTGAGCTCGGGACGGGGTGCGGGTGGGGATCCCGGGCGCGCGGCCGCGGGTCTTCCCCCAGGTGGGTGTGTCTGATGGGGTTTAGGGCGTGCAGGGGGTGCAAAGGCCTGGTTGCCCAGCCGCTCCCCCACCGCCCACCGCCCACCGCCGGGGGTGGGGCGGGAAGTTCAGCAAATGAATGGGGGGGCGGGGGAGGGAGGAGCGCTGAGCTCTGGGGGTTCTGGGGGTATCGTCCCAGGTAAGGGGAGAAGAGGGGGTGCAGGGGTGCGGGGCCCGTGCTACGTGGAGGTCAAGAAAGGCGGCGGAGGGAGGAGGGGGCCGACTGCAGCCCCGATCGGCGCCCCCTCCACGCCGCCCCCGCGCAGCCCGGGCCGACGCTCCCGCCAGTGGCGACTCCTCGACCCTCCCGCTCGCTGCCGTCCCGATCGGGGGCGGCTCGGGCCTCGGGACCCCGGCGAGGTGGGCGCGGGGGGGCGGCCCCACTCCGGGCACAAGGCCGAGGGGCGGGCGGAGGGGCCGGACTCGCCGGGCCGCGGGGCGGAGGCGGCGGGGCGGGCGGCGCAGTCCCAGGCCAGCCCGGGCGCGGCAGGAACCGGGGCGCGCGGCGCGGCGCGGCGCGGCGCGGCGGCGGCGGGGGCGCAGGTAAAGGGGCTGCCAGGGCGGGGTCGGGGTCGGGGGGCGCGCTTCGACCGCGCTGTCCCCGGGCACGGGGGCTTTGAGGCTGTGCGTGCAAGTGTTGATGTGTGAGCGCGCGCCCGTTTGTGTGTCTCTGTGTGTGTGTCTGTGTGTGCAAGTGCGTGCGCGTGCGCGATCGCGCGCGCTCTCGTCCGTGCCGGGAGCGCGTGTGTGAGTGTGTGTGTGTGTGTGTGTGTGTGTGTGTGTGTGTGTGTGTGTGTGTGTGTGTCCGCGCGCGCACGCACTCCCGCCTGCAGGAGGCGAGGCTCTCCTGGCCTCCTCTGCCATCCAGTGGACCGAACCCCGGGAGGGAAGTTGGGAGTCTGGCTCTCCTGTCCCCCCCAGCCAGGTCAGTGCGCCGCGGGGTCCCCTGCATGCGCAGTGCCCACTGCCAGAACCCGCCCAGGTGACACGTAGGTGGCCTCCAGTTACCTGGGTCGGGGTGCGGGGCACTGGAAGGCGTGCGGGGGCTGCTCCAAGTGCCCCCCCAAACGGCGCCGGGGAGGACGCAGACTGCCCGGGGTGGGGAGTCCCCGCGCAGGGCAGCGCGGAGCTCCTGCCCCACATGCTTCCCACCGGGGGACTCAGTTGTCTTCTCCGGGCTCAGGACTTGAAACTCAAGTTTTTCCGTCCGACCGCTCCACAAATGCGCTTAGTGAGTAACTGGGAAATGGAAGGCAAGGGAGGGACCTGGCTTTGATTTGGCGGTTTGGAAATCGACGGGCTCCCTGGGTTTGTGCAGGACTGGTTTGTTGTGAATGCATTTAAACTTTATTCTTGTTTTTCTTTGCTGCCGCTTGGCCTGTGATGTGTTAGGATGAAGGCATCCAGGACTTGTTGCTGCCTTCAGCCTGCGGCCTGAGTTCGCTTGCTCGTTGCTTGCTGCTGCTGCTCCTTATTTTTTTATTTTATTTATTTTTTTTAAATGTTGAAGTCTATGAGTTTTTCGTAAATACGGGTTTCCAGCGAGTTCTGGTTCAAGTTTCACTATGAATGCGTTGTTTCTCATTGTGATAGATGCCAAGGGGGATTTTGAAAACGTGTAGCTTCAGTTCTTAGAGCAAAACCCACTGCTCCTTCCCAGCTCTAACAAATCTATATTTCCCACCTGTTTGCAAAAACACAGTTTGCCAAGACAAAGATCTGCAGTTCTGCAGTTCTGGCTTCAGGGAGTACTTATCGGAAAAAACGGCAACACTTCTTCTTGTAAGAAGCGATTCCCTTGTCAAGTAGCAGAGTAAGCCTCAAGGAGTTGGGGTAATGCGTTGGAATTAAAGTTGTTTGGAGAGAACGAAATCGCATCAAAATGCATTGACCGCAGGTAAAATGCCAATTATGCTTTTCACCCTTGCTTTTCCAAGGGTTGGTAAAAGTGAGCAGATATGCCCCCAATGCAAAGTAAGTTAAGGATATTAAGGCAGCATCTTTATTTCTTGACATCACTTAACGGGAGGGCGAAGAAGTCCAAGTGGCCAGAGAGAGAGGCAGAATGTGCAGCGGGCAGTAGTTGCTGGCCTAGGACGGGCCTGAACCCTGGGCTGTCATCCCTAGAGCCCCCGCCCCCGTGGATGCCGCGCCCCCTAGTGGTGCGACCTCAGCCTGTCTGGTCAACTGGTTCTCCTGATCCTCCTCTGGAAAGGAGGGAGCACAGGTTCTCTGCTGATCACCTCCAAAAAGAGGTAGAAACTGGTGACGAGGGGCTTGGTTATACCCAAGTTAGAACAGTAGAAAGTAAAGGAAGCGTGACTGGGTTAGTTCCAAGAAGGTAGAAGAAAGAAATCGGAGACTGATTCCTGGGAAGGAGACTTTCTTTCCTTCCTCAAGGGCATCAGTAGGCATTTCCTCTCTTCCTTCCCTTATCCCTATTATTTAGAGCGTGTGCGCCTGCTTAGCCTGGACATCGAGGTGAAGTTTAGTGGACCGGAGCCACCTTTCCTTTGCATGACTGTGTCTGGAGGTAGCAGCTGCCTCCCTGCCTGTGGGCACCCCTAGATCTCAGGGTACCTTTGGTGGAAGGATCAGCAGAAGGAGGAACGGAAGTTTCAACAATTTGCATTTTGAAACTTTTGTTCTCATTGGGAAGTGAGGGACTTTGTTGATATTTTCAAAAAAGTCATTTGTTGAAACAAAAGAATTGGTCTTATGGCATTTGTTGAACCTGCTGGAAAAGTCAAAAGAAAGAAAAGTCACTTCGGAAGTCTTTTTTGATACTTCGTGACACTCAGTTTGTCATGAGTGATGTTTAGGGTCAGGCGTCTGCTTTCAGATGCTTAGTAAGGAAACTCTTTTGCCTCCTGGACAGAAAACAGTGTATTTTTTTCACAGGCAGGGCTCCAAATACTAACACTTGAAATCATTTTGAGATATAAAATTTAAAGTCCACTCTTGATGTGGGGCCTGTAGGCCTCGAACGTTTGTTTTTGTTGAGATCACTGTTCTTTCGGTAGCTTTGTGTGAACACACTTGGGGGATGTGATATTTTAAAAGTGAAGCGTGATTAATAAAAACTTGAACATAACCATCGTGTTGGTTTAAAGTCCAATTATTCTGGCCTTGTTATTTCATCATTCTAGGTGGTTTCTTAGTTTTACAGATCACGTTACCTCCAAGGCACCTATAGAGTTATTACATACCTATCTCACAGGGAGCTATCTGGATATCTGTTATGGAAAGTCGGAAGTGGGCAGAGGGGGAGTGTTTATTCAATAAACAATTCCTTCTGAAATAGCATATATGATAAAGAAGAGATAGTGATAAAGAAGAGACTTTAGAAAGAGCTGGGGTGCAGGTCTAGGGCAGGGGGAGGACCAGCCAACTTCAGTTTGTGGCAGCTATATCTGGCAATCTTGGGAGCTGGTAGAAGCCAAGAAGAATGCTGGGCATGTCAGGGAATGGAGAATTAAATTCGGATTCTAGGCAAGACTTCACACAAGGCATGTGAAGGATGCAAGTGATGTTTCTTTAAAAAAATATGAATGGTGGAGAGTGAAGATGGAGTCAAGTCTAGGGTAATGAAGACTGGTGAAGGTCCAAGACGGTACATTGGGGGTGAGGAACATGGATGTTACTCTGGGAGTTTTTCTGCTCCTGGCAGGGAAGGGAAAGTATTATTTAGCCCTGAGATGTAAGACACTGAGTCCTCCATGTGATGATATAGTGAGGGGTGAAGTAACTGAGAGCTAATGGGACTTTTATTCACCCACCTTCTATTCAGAAAAAATGAATTCTGTTGTGTTCTGGGGTCCTGCTGCCTCTTGAACTAAATTCTGACATGTTACAGAAGAGAGGAATTTGTGGCTTCTTCCCTTGATTAGCCTTCAAGGTGACTTTGCTTTGTATTTTTTAAAATACAGTTTAGTGGAAATGAATGATGCTGTCGTGCTTCATCTGGATTTTGTGAGGCCTTTTGAGTATGTGGGTTGAAAATCACTTTCCAGACACGGAGCCGACCAAGAAAGTCTTTTGTTTTGTTTAGGGAAAGGCCTGCTAGTTAATCCTAATTTAAACAGGACCCGCTGGCCACTGGTGATCTTTACTGGGTTTATGTTATACATAGCATTTAACCATTGAGGTTGGATATTTGTGGCACAGAAAGGAAAGAATTATTATTAGTTTAGAAATGGGGTTAATGCCCCTGAGACGTAGGGGGATTACAGAGGAGCGGAGGCGAAGAAAGGCTCAGACCCTGGCAATTGCAGTAGGACTGACGCTAGAACATCCTTTTTTATGATTTCCTTCCAAGAGAAGTCATTTGCTCAGTTCTGCATACTCATACTTCTTTCAGTACCTTCTTTCCGGTCGCTGACTTCAATGAATCTTTTAAGTCAGAGAGACAATTTCAGAGGTGAAGGCGCTTGCCTTGCATGCAGCTGACCCCCGTTGCACACCCAACACCACTCGTGGTCCCCCAAGTGCCATCAGAAGTGACCCCTGAACACAGAGCTGGGAGTAAACTCAGTACCAGCAGATGTGACCCTAACCTCTTTTCCAGAACAAATCTCTCCAGCTAAAATGTCTAGCACATTATCTTAAATATGGAAAGAACCTTGGTGAGACCCATTTGGGAGAGGTGGTGAGCAGGCGTGGAGGTTTCCTCTAAGACCCCAGATCTCTATGCCAGGTGGGAAAGAATGACTTTATTGCTGGATGTCAAAGGTAGAGCTAGGTGGGCATGATTTTTTTTAATTGCCCTTGAATCTGCTGATGCTGAATTGACTACCAAGAAGACAGATGATTAATTTGGTTAGTTGATTTTTCCTATCTTCTACAAATACTTTAGAAACAATTGTAATGAGTAATTCTTCCAGCTAAAGAGTGATTCTTCTAGCTGACGATTTTTTCTTCTGCAAGAGAACTTGGATTTGGCACGTTAAACCTATTCAGTAAGTTGAACTGAAGGAGCCCAAGGTTATATATTTAAGAACTATACTTTATTTCTTTAATGGGTATATTTTGATGTGTTTATGTAAGAAGTGGGTAGTGATGATTTTATTTAAATTCCGGGACATTTACATTATCTGGTTGATATGATTTCAAACTAGTGGTATTGTTTTGTGTTATTGACCTATGGGGTTGGGACCAAGAAAACCACCGAAATATGTGGATTTTAGCTCCTATTATCTGACAAGTGCTTTAGAAACTTTAATTTGATGTTCATATAAATTTAGATTTCTTCCAGAACTGAAAGAGCACTATTTTTTTTTTTACCACAGGCATGGATTTGGATTATACTTTACATTAGAATTATTTGCTTTGGTGTTGATAGTTTCAAAATGTAATAGAACAAGAACAAGCATGTACAAGCCTGAGTCAGGTAGATCAGACTGTTTAATAGAAAATGATCTAAAAGCTATTCTTTCTTTGAATTCTGCTTTTTTAATTAAGGCATTGTGATTTGCAAAGTTATAGCTGAGTTTTAGACTTATATACAATATGGTAGTACTGATCCTACCATCAGTGTCAAGTTCCCTCCACCAGTGTTCCCAGGTTCCCTCCCTTACTCCCCACCTCCGTGCCCCAGAGCCTGCCCTCTAGATAGATACCTTTCTAAGTTCAGCTGTTCAAGTTCAGGTCTCTTGATTTCAGTGTAAAAACTGTTTTCTTTAAATTTGACCAAGAATACCTGATCACGAATCTCTCTCTGGAGTGAGATTTCCAAGGTTGTATCTGTCAATTCAGGGAAATGTGTTCTTTAGTTCCATTATTGTGTTGAAATTTCTCTTCCAGGGGATGAGTGTGCATTCCCAGGTGGTGCAAAATAATGACCTGGGGACCCGATGGTTCAATACTAGGGCCTGGTGGTGCATTGTTGCTTGGATGTTGCTACCAAGGCCACTCTTGATGGTGCTGGGGGCTGGACATGCAGTGGAACCAAGGGGCTTACATCTTGCCAGGCATATGCCCAAGTGCTAGG